TTTTAGTTTTTATTTTACTATTTTTATGAGCTCTCAACTATTTACTCAAGTTTCAGTGCTATAATTGATCATATTTTTACTCAAAACGGCATTTAAATCACTCTTTTCAATATTACAAGCATTTGTTTATTATATAAAGTATTAATTGAAATAATTACCCTGCACCCGTGAGATTTTTCACTCCAGTAACATAGGGGTGAACTCTGTTGAGATCGTTTTACAATAACTTTTAGCTACCATATGATAATAGATAGAGCTGTCAGCCAAAGAACTTCGTGGAGATACCTTTTTCTTTCTTTCATTCATCTGATAGTTTTTTATTTGTTACTTATCTAATACCAATTTTTTGACATCATACCTTTTTCATGCATCAGAGAAACATTTACATTTCCTTTAATTTTGAGGGCTATTCTTTCGGTTAAAAATATGAGTTCCGCTGTCCCACTGTGCAACATGAGCTCTTTGATGTACACATGTACATGCGTGATTGTGTGTGTGTTCATGTAGCTTGATAGCTTTAACATTGTCTGCGTATGTGTATACGTGTGTACACCGTAGGTGCAAAGCTTATTAAAATAGTTGTGAAAATTGCTCAAATTTTCGTTTGCGACATGTTTCTGGATGTGCGACTGCGAGTGCAAATGCGTGTACGAGTGTCTATCAGTTGGCAAGTTATGAGTGTGTGTGTGCGTGTGTGTACGTGTGTGTGCGTGTCGGAAGTGTTCGCTAACTTTTGCCATTTCGGTGGCTTCATCAAAGTTGTGCGCCGAGAGTGTTGACGTTTATTTAATAGAAAATAGTTTTATTTTTGCCAACTTAAATGCCGCATTAATTGCATGGCAAGAGCCAGCTATGTAGTCGTATGTTTTTATGGGAATGTGTACTGATAATGCATTCGTGAATATTTTCAACATGTATACGCACACATGAGGGTGTGTTCTACACCGCCATAAATTTCAATTTGCCTGCACATAACACCGCGCGAAAATGAAATTAATTAAAAACATTGCAGAAGCCACACAAAGTCCCCGAGGCCAGATAAAAAAAAACGTTTGCTCAAATGTGCGCCGCTTAAAAAATGTTATAAAAATAATTTGATTAAATTTAAATTTCAGCCAAAATAACAAATACTCGTATAAAGAGATCAAAACGTAACTTTGTTTTTAAATGGAAAAAAAAGTATAGATGTCTAAAAATCCCCGCCGTGACAAAAAATTAAAGAAGAATGCAAAGTGCAGGCGAAGCATCAAAAGGCATAAAAGGAAAACTGGCACGTAACAAATACGAAAAACTTTCGCAGCGTGAACAGCACGAGTATACATGTACAAATAAATAAAAATAACAAAATTGCAACGTTGTTAGTCGTGTTTTTTTGCAACTTAGAAAAAAGACAGGAACAATGTTGCCAGCGGTGCCTGTCGTTAAAAGAAAAACCTGTTCTGCAAAATTCCCGCGTTTGCGAATCGCAATCTGGTGAAGAATCAGCAACAGAAATACAAATGCTGGATAAAGAAGAATAAGGGAATGAAAGAAAGAACGCGCCACTGCACTTTTTGCCGTGGCAGTTGTCTTTGCGGCCTGGGTGAAGGCGGCGTTTGTACCACGATTGGAGAAGACATTAAAAAAAGATGGTAACACATTAAGAGCAACCGCATAACCAACATCATCAACAACAACAACAACAACAGACAATGTTGCATATCACGACTTACAATTGCTTGCTGCAACATATTTGCGATTGCAGCCACAGTGTCTTGATGTTGGTCGTCAAAGAAAAGGTGAAGGATTGCGACATCCGTTGCATTGTTGCTGTCGTTCGATAGCATACTACAGGTATTACAACAACATGTTAATTAAGCTCACACACTCGCACACAAACAATAAAGTCTATTGTCAGCATTTGATAAGCGATTAAGCACATACAAAAGCTGTTGCTCTTGCAACATGCAATACTCGTACGAGTGATGCTTGCAGCGCTTGCCTACCACAACTTTCCCACACGTGTGTGATTTTAGCACAATTGCAGACGCTGTGCTATTCCATTTTACTGTAATGCAATTACATTGCAGCTGACAACGGAGACGACGCCTGCCGAAACCGCACCAATTGTTGTTGCTGTTGTTGCTGTTGATTCAGCTGCCATTACTCCTTGCGTGTTGTTGCATGCTTATCACACACTCTACGAGTAGGACAGGCTGCCCGCTCGGCCGGGTTGGTTGGCCGGTCTGCCGGTCTGCCGGTCTGCCTGTCTGCCTGCCTGTTACGAGGTGTTGATTACATGTTTTCCATTCAGGCTGTTGTTGTTACTTGCATGGTTGTTCGTTGCATGCCTAGTTAAATTGCACGCTGCAACGCCTCTGCCCACCGCACGGGGCTGGCAACTTGACAGTTCAATAACATTCAATTTAGCGCGAAATTACTTTAATCTCAAGTCCAGTGGACTGAAATTTTCTTTCTCTCCTGGCAATTAAAAAACCAAGGGTACTTTTTTCAGTAAAAACATAAACGTAAATTTGATAGAAGGTCATATATTTTTCAAAAAAGCCAGGTTCCCACTTCAAGGTAACAAAAGACCATCAAAATAGAGAACTGGCGATTTGATGAGGTTAATATTCCTGAGATAATTATGATCATTTGCATACCTTAGCTTCGAACACAGACAACGTTAAATCACAAACAATTGAAAATCGGAATACAATTGCCACAATGTAACAGTTACATTGGGAGGTAAAAATAGTGGCAGAGGAAAGAAAAACGAGGAAATGCCGCAAGTTTAAAATCATCCCATATTTTGACGACAAAATATCTTGGTGACGAACATTTTTCGAACAGCGTAATGATCATTTTTTTTCTATTACAGTCAATGAATCTTATATATATTAGAAGAATTTTTAAATTGCAAGGAAAGTACTTTTCCTCTGTGTTACAGTTTTTGGGAAATAATCAAAAGCTGGCTCACTTCTCTAGACTCAAATGCTTGATCAAAAGTAAACTGAACCAATGAAGGTAATCTTTTGTGTTATAAAAATACAAACTGCTACTGAGAATTAACTCCTGACGCCTTGATTTCACTAGGTCCGAGAAATAAATGCCAAAGCAGGTGCCCTTAAGAAAGGGTGTAGTGACCAATCCAGCAAGTGCATTCAGTTGAAAAATTATTAAAATTGCAAACACATGTACATATGTATGTACGGGCAATACATACATATACACACATATCGAAAAATGTTGAATAGTGCTTGATCCGAAGCTCAATAACTTTGCTGCTGAGATTCAAGCAAAGTCAAGATTCGGGCCAGCGGAAACTTTTCAGCTTGGCTGCTTACATGCAGCTATAAGGAATTCAATGTGTTATTGGTATGCAGCGAAGAGTTAACGCTGATTTGCTGTGGCCACTTCCCAAATGCCACAATCTCCAATCGTAGTGCAGATTCCTGTTCCTGCTTGCTTCCTGTTTCAAGTTTCCATTTGCATGAGTGGACCAATAGTCAAGCAAGCTTAAGCGATTAGTGAGGCAGACATAATCCTATTGAAAATGCATTCTATTGTAAATTGTATTCATTGCTTTAAGCAATTTTAATTTTAATAAGCATTGTGTTGGTAATACACATCATGGGGTAAATATTGTACAAGTATATAAGATTAGGTACTCTCTGACTATTTCTTTAACTCCGGAACTTTTGTCATTCTATGCTTATTTTAAAATATCATATTTGGGCTATATTGGCTCAGTCTTCTTGCTCCACTACTCATCAAAACCACACTTAACATACTTTAAGTTTTATTTGTCTGCTCATTAATTTGATTGGATTCATTGGTTTTATGACTTTTCCCATCAGCACTCGTATCCAAGCCAACCCACTACTCCCTGGAACACGAGAGTCATAAATTTAATCACTACAAGCTTAACTGAATCCGAAACATAAAAACAATTTTTGTGCGCCGTACTGGAATGTCATTGTACTCCAAGTGCTTCAAGTACTCCTACATCAGCAGCGTCAGCCACTGAAGCCACTAAGTTCAGCTTTAAGAGATTAATAGAGTTTGACACTGCCTCTGAAATTTTTATGCCACTTAATGCATACTAAATGTATGCGTCTAGGTCTCCTGTAACTGGAGTGTAGTACTTCTTCGCCCATAAATTGGGTCACGCATTCGTGCGGTTTGAGTTGAATCTGCGCGCACCCATAGCTATGGGGTGAGAAATCAATGTGTGTACATTGTATTGATTGAGAACATATTTATATGCACCATAATGAATACATATAATAGATTGCCCATCAAAAGTGCCTAATTTTGTAAATAGTCAAATTAAATTTAAGAAGAGTTACTTCATTTTCCAGCATATTTTCAAAACATTTAACTTCCATCTTTTTCTCCTCATTGTCTTATTGCGTATATGGAAACATAGTTGGGGGAACAATATATTTGGTCCAGTGTGTTGTTCGGGAGAAAATGGATGCCTGTGTTAAGCGACGGCAATACATATCAATAAAATGTACAGAAATCCCGCTGCTACACAATGTTCAGTGAAAATAATTTGACTTAATGGACTTGTGCGTTGTCTTTGTAAGATTTCGTGCGCTTTTGTTTGCTTAAGGGGAAGTGCTTCAAAACACAATACTGCCCATTGTTTATCACTTGTCCCAACGCCTGTGATTTACATACGAGAAGATGCGAGTGCGGGCAATGCCTGAGGCAAAACGGTGTTGATGGTGCTTGCGATGGAGTTGCCCCAAAGATTCAATGAACCCCATTGCGTTAAATAACAATCTCAGACATTGCGAAAATTTCAGCTGCTGATTGTATCTAATATTTTTCATAAAACTGTACATACATTTGTTTTCTAGCAACAAAAACAGCAACATTTACCGACTATGATGTAGGTAGTAGGGAAATAAAGAAAAATGCTCAACTGTTTCTTTAGCAATCCGAACCAAAATAACTGTGAGTTGATCTATTATATTCTCTTCGATGGTTGTGTTTAGGTTAAAATTTACCTGATGTCTTGTTACGCTTGCCGTTATGTTAGCTCCTTAGAGAGGAAGGGTCGTAAGCGTTGGTGAGTAAATATTTGTGACTTTTGTACTCAATTTTCTGTTATTATTGGCCACTCTTTTCTGTCGCTTCTTTCAGAATTTCTGCGCGCGCACTCGTCTCGCAGGATAACACAAGCACACTCACAGCTACGAGAAAGATATTTTGAGAGTCACTCAAACACGTTCAGGCGTTTGCACTCGAGGATGCTGTGTTCATCAAAAATCACTCCAGGCTCAATTATAGACACTGTCCATCCAATTTTTCACTTAAACAATCTTTTTCGGTTCGCCTGCGTGCGATCGACACATTCAACAGTCAAGCGAGCTGCAACTAAACTGAGTGGCTCGGCCAGCGAGAAAATGCCGCAAAGCAGCACCAGCAGCAGCAACAGCCACAGCCGCAGCCAGAGCCAAAACAACACATATGGAACGAGAGCAGCAACAGCAAAAAAGCGCTCAATACACTGTGCGAAATGGAACACGCATGGAATCTGAGAGCTCGCACACTATTTACATGGCATTATATATCAGCATCAACGCAGCCGTTTCTTATGTTTATTAATATACTTATATGTATTGCATTACACATATGTTTAAGTATGTGATACACATATGTACATTTCAGTCAGTGTATGCGAGTGTTATCAGTTAGCAATACTTTTTGTTGTTATGGCTATTGCCATTGTCGTTCACGTTGCCGCTGCTGTTGTTGTTGTTGTTGTTGCTGGTGTTCCTGTTGTGGGGCAGCAGCAGCAACAGCAGGCGCGTCTGTTTTGCCACATGATTGATGGTTGGAGGAATGAATGCATGTCAATTCTGATAAGCGTCGGCTGTAAAGGCAGGAGAAGGCAATGGAAAGGGCTTATCGCACAGCTGTACATGATAGGGGGACCTAGCTTAGAACGTGCCATAGTCGAAACATGTTCATGAACGTAGCAAGGGGGGTCAGGCGGGAAATTCCTTCTTTAGAATCTGAGCAAACACAAACACTCACTTCTCAGGAATGGCTCGTGTCAAACTTATTTCGAAACTCAAGAAATATATTTTTTTGTTTTGTTTTTGTTGCCGCCATTTTACAACCATTAGGCAACTTATTGCACTAATTTCAATTAAAAGGGTGTTTGTGAGTGTGTTGTTCACGGCAGATAAAAAATCTGTCTCTAGCTTTTATATTCTCTGAGTGCTAGGTGTGTATACGAACGGAGTTATGGAAAATCACTTATAGGGCGAAAATGTGGATGATGAATCAACAAAATACAAGAAATTTGCAAAGCGTATGTGTAGATATCTGAGGTCTAGGTTTTTATACGGACAGAGTTCAATTGATTCGTTTTGACGTGCTGATTAAGAATATATACATATATACATGATCCTGTCAGGTAGAGAGTATACAAGTCGCAGGCCCCCTTAGTTAGATTCTGGCGACGCCTATGAGCATGTGTATTTTTGTTTGCTTTCATGTATTTTCAATTTTGGGTTTTCATAGTTTCATAGCCATACCTACACACATACATATGTGCATAAGATACATACTATATGTACTGGGATTTGAAGGTTGCAAACATTCGAGCCTAACAAAGAATTATAGTACATTCCATAATTAAACCCCAAAACCTTGACTTAGCGCACCTTGAAAGAGAGTAAGTCAACGACAAATATACATTTGAATGATTTCGCTATTTAGTACTTATAAGTGTTTACATGCGGCTTGCAGTTCTTTCCGTACTGATTGCAACTACGACTATAAAATTAAATCGTTTATGTGTATATAAGAACAGCGCCATTGTACAAGCATGCGAGCTTATCGCGTCAAAAGCAATTGATAAGCGTGTAATTTATTTTTGGTATTTATGTAAACAATCTCCAACGAATTGTGTAACATTCCAAGAGTACTGCAATGGCCAGATCAATGCGCACATGCATGTGTGAGTGTGTTTGTGTGTGTGAGTATAGGTATACATACATATGTGTATATGTAGCATGAATGTCACTCATTTCTCCATTCCATTTCGTTCCCAGGCACTCAAACAAGTTTTGAGTGAGTTGTGCCCGATTGAGCGTACTAGAAATCACAACATTAAATTGGAAGACATCGGGCAATGGACGGGTCGAAATACACCTAAATTCGTCGTTCAAGTGGACGGCTGGCAGGCAGGCCGGCAGTGCCAAGTGTTGGCAAGCGGGCAGCAGGCACAAGAACTTTAGCAGCTGCAGCAACAACAACATCAGTCGTGAATGCGAGCTGTGGCAAAGTGTAATCAGAGAAGCAGATACCAAAGAAGTGGACGCTGACGCTGCTAAAGTCGTCCAAATACTTTACCAACTTGGACAACAACGTTCGGCTATGTTATTGTGCTTGTTATTGTTGTTGTTGTGGCTGGTGCTGTTGCTGTTGTGGTTATGGGTCGGCTGTGCGACGCCGCGACGGCATCGTGCTCGAAGCTGTACGCTATATGTATAAACAACAAACAAGTAGAACGTTAAAGTTATGCGAGTACGATTCTTAAATACCCTTTACCTGTCGCTTTCTCCGCCACAGTCCTTTATGGGAAATAGACTTTGTTGTCGCACCTATCATTCTGTGGCAGCTATACGATATTGTATGCCGAGGCATTAAAAAAAACCAATGCGGAACTGGTAGGGACACTTTGTCACCGATAAGTCCAGGCTTATCTAGTTATCTAGTGCCAGTTACAGATAGGTTCATATCGATTCGTCTCGATATGACTATCAAATGAATATTGATATACAAGTATGTATGAATGTACATCATAAGAGTCTGCAACGCCTCCTTCTGCCACTTAAAGGTGTCTTTTTGAAATTCTGGTATAGGGTATAAACATATACAGACATTCAAAAGACCAGAGCATTGTTTTTGTTTGTTTATATCTTGATTGCTGATTTCTGTTGATCTTCCAGTTTTTCTCATATGCCTATACACATACATATAGAATGTATGTATATTTGTACATGCATATGTACATATAGTTTATGCAGATCAGTGCACGCGCATCTACAGCACATGCATATCGACATATGTACATGTTTACATATGTATGCACATATGTATGCATACTATATGTATTTTTTCATATGAATGGATATACCTGGCGCAGTTATGTTTTGGCTGCTACTGCTACACACCAAGTTTCTTCCAAAATAAATACCAAAACAACAAACAATTTGATTTCAGACGATTAAAGATGTTGTCATAAATGAATTCGATTCGCTTATCATTTCATCGCATGTCCCATTCTTTTGAGGTGCAGGCTTTCCCACTGTCATTGCCGCTCTCGGACGCTTCCTTCGCTCACTCCGTGCGCACGCGTTAAATACACACTTCTCCCAGCTCTCACGCTCTCATGCTGTCGCTCGGGCTGCGAAAATGTTCTTTCTGGGCTGGCATTTGCATTTATGAGTTCCTTTTCGCCATTCACAATGACAGGAATCGTTTTCAACGGGTCTTTTCAGGCTTCGGTTCTGGGATTTTTTGCATCTCTCTCTCAGTATTGACAAGGAATTTTTATGAAGTAAAGAAGCTGCATTGCTCACAATTTTACCGTAAATACGGCAAATGTATGTATGTCGGTACATTTTATGTACACTGGCCAAAAATGCTAAAGGTTAAGAAGCGTTAAGACAATCTGTGTATGTACTACACTGCACATAGATAAAGAAATGCAATGACCTGTGAGAATATCATGTAAACAATACACATGAAATATACATATATACAAGTATGTACATACATATATAACACATATATTTTTGTGTATAAAAGCATTTCAAGTTAACTGTTTTTTATGAAATGTGTGAATTGCAGTATCCTGCCAAGAAGTGTAATATTATAGTATAACCAGAGAATGGAACAAAAACAAGTTGTTAACACAACACCTCCAACACTCCAAACTGTGCACTTTCCAGTGAATGTAAGAAGTGCACACTCATTTAAATATTTACATTCACCGCCACTCGTTAGCAGTTTTTCCCGTCATGAGTCCAACTTGAGCATACTCCTACAGTTATACATATGTACATATATTGTACATATTCGTATGTACAAGCAAACGTCTAACAGTTGCAAGCTGAACACCACAGGAAAAATGTAGAGAAAATTCAATAATATCTCAGATAACAGCAGTTGGCATTGCAATTTTTCAGAAAGCAATTGCATGACCGTCGTGGCTGCTGTTGATGGAGACGACTCTGATATGTGCACAACTCCACTTCATTCTCCAATGCTGAGCCACATGGCACCACCAAAGCCAAAGTCAACGCCAACGCCAACACCATCATCACAGTCATTGCAATTGCCAGCGCCATAGCCAGAGTGTCTAATAGCGTCACACACAACGCCGGCGTCATATAAATTTTCTCCGAGAAACAATCAAATTCAATTGTAACTTGATATTGCGAGTGTGTGTGATTATTGTTTTTCCGTTTTTCCTCAACACATTTTTCTTGGGCGGCAGTAACGACGCCGGCGACCAAGTTTCATATTCCCAGTTACTTTGCATGCAAATTTTGTGCGCCCACCGACTGCGCATATGTCACATGAAACCGTTCTGTCTGAAGCTCGCTGCACAAATGCAATCATCGGTGATGCATGGACCACCTGCATGCCACATTGGCATGTGGAGGCAGAGGCATCAACCAGAGGAGTGCGCGAGGCACCAGCACCAGCACCAGCTTGTGACGTTCATGCTGTTGCCGGCGCTTGCCATCATGTCAATTATTTGCGAATTTGTTAGTGCTACTGACAGCTTCAGTACTTATTTTTCACTCAAACGACAACGATATTGATGTTTGATGATGTTTTGATACATTTTCTACATCATCCTGCACGCTTGCCAATATGGAATATGGAATGACATAAACAGCAAACAATTCATATATTCAGGTACATAAAAAGATAACAACTCACAGACAGCTAGTCGAAAGTCCAATTACCTACAGAAATTACAGACTATACTTATACGAGTATGCATAGAACAGAGAGAACACTATTGTTCAACATTAGATAAGTTTAAGTTAGGCAATAAGTTGTTAGTCCATGGTGGACTGAGTTCCTCTTCAATCTATGTATAAAGTCTGAAAGAAAAATAATTGGGCTTAAGAGCTCAAACTCAAGCTTAGATAATTTTTATAAATAGTATCCAACGACCTGATCTATTATCCAACAGCAAGTCCTGCTTAGTCGATATACTTGTATAAATCAAGATGGAGTAATTTTCAGTAAAAGTATGAATTTTATAAAGAAATACATTTTTTATACCTCGTAAGTAGGGTAAAAAGGCAAAGTTAGGTTTGTACGAGGTATGTAACTACAGCATATATACTCGTATATATATGGAATTTGTGGTGCACATAATAGATG